GGAAAACGACAGCAGACAGGTTAGTATGTTGTGAATGTGCTCTGCAAACAGTGGGGAAAACAAGGGTTGTGGCTGGGAATGCAGGAACATGCACTGGTAATCGTGTCTTCTGCCTGTTCTGCTCTTCACTCTCTCACTGTTGTCTGGGTGTGTGAATTTAGGATGTGTGACATTGGGGCAGAGCAGCAGAAATAAGCTTGTGTACCGAGCTTTGCTTCTCATAGGCTAGTGACAACCTTTTATAAACATGCAGAGGTTTTGTCCGACAGTGGCCCTGTCTCAAGGCTTCACCCAACAGCATTGATGTGCAGCAGTCTTCAACTGCCACATCCATTTTCTGAAATAGAATATATATTCCACAGTGTATTTTTGGAAGGTCTTAGTGAAGTTTGAAGATTGTGTAGTCTGTCTGAAAAGTGTGGTTTGGCTTCCTTTGCTTCATTTCAGCTGTGACCTGTTTATGACAGCACTGGGCTCCTTCAGTTCATTTTTATTAATGCAGCATTGCAACGTCGTCTGTTTCCCATGCCTGAGGAAAATCAGATTTGCAGAGTCATGCCGTCATTTTGATCTAGTTGTATAACAATTCATCTCTTTCTGCTAAGTCACCAGCTCTGATCGCCTGCTGGCTTCCTTGCATCTGTACCTCAATTTTTGCAGACAGATAACTGAAATGCTATTCCTTGATGAAGGAAGACTATTCTTGCCACTTTTCAGAAAAGGAAACTAAGGAAGCAAGATTTTATGGATAAGTTTTAAAGGCATAATATGTTGGGAATAAAACAGTTTTTTTTAATATCCCATATTTGGGATTTACTGCATCCTTGGTGTTGCCTTGACCAAAGGGCTTTGGACAGCACAGACTGATCGATGGTCTCCTGTGTAACTGAAAGGTGTCTGACAGATTTCTGAATTTCCGTAAAGTTGTCCTTAGTGATTGTGATTCTTGCTTCTCTGCATTCACAATGGTAGTGTTATGCACATGGGCTTTGGGATTTTTATTTTTTATCTTCAGATGAAAGGTTTCACAGAGGTAACTTGGTGTGACAGCTTATTTGAGAAGTGCTGAAGTAGAGGAAAATTACTATATCTATTGCAGTATGTTAGCTGAATGAACAGCTGTTTTGGCAAGGCTTGCCATAACTTATATACTCTTATTTGAGGATCATCTAAAATGTGTACTATTTTTGCAGTTTTCATGGCTTTCCCAAGCATGAGCCGGGGCAGCTTATGAAGACTTCAAAGGGCAGTGTGTAGGACTCATGCTTTTCCTGACTTTCCAGCTCAATAACTCTGTTTTCTCTTCCAGAAATGGGAACAAATCGAAAGCAATTCTAAACTGCGGCACGTTGGCAGCAACCTCTGTCTAGACAGCCGAAATGCCAAAAATGGTGGTCTCACCGTTGAGATCTGCAGTCCTTCTTTGTCGCAACAGTGGAAATTCACACTTAACCTGCAGCAGTAGGGGGACTTACGAGCAAAATGCTGTCTCAGTTCATAGACGTTGGGCAAAGTTTTGATTGAATTACTGATGTATTTCTAAAAACTTTCCACGGAACTTATATACCTCAGTATTCCACCTTTATCTGAAAGTAGGAGAGTGCTGAAGCAGACACCAGGGATCTGGGGGACTTGGGGTACTGCAAAGATGTCACTGAACACGACTGCAGCACAACTCCTTCTTGGTGTGAAGGCTTCAACGGTTCCTTTCTGTCTTCGGTCGTGTACTTGCACAGCAGATAATGAACTCTAGGAACAACTGATGTATGATACAAAAAAGGATCTGAAGAAACACCTGTGGGGAGCAAGGTGTGGGAGGGAGGGTGGGGAAAAATTACTAGGAGAAGGTAATTTGAAAACTCCATTTGCATAGAAATCATGGTTTGTCGTTTCCAGAAACAGAAGTGTCATTTTGAAGTTTTGGGTTCTGTTTTTTTTTTCCTCCTGTGTGTACTTGGTAATTTGAATATGAACTTTTCTATGACGGACTCTAAATATAAATATATAAAACTATATATGTTGTCAGCTTCCAGCGTTTTCTCAGTTTTCATCATGCTATAATTATCAACAGAGTGGTTGACATACATATAACCAGAAATCAGATTGGGATGCCAGGAGAGTGAAACTTTACGAAGGTGCGGATTTTGTGCTGCTGAGTGCGATGTCCGTGCTTACACTGGATGCTTTTGCATTGCAAACTGGATCTACTCCTTAACGCTTTGCCCTCACTGGAGATCATGAAACTCAAGACAAGAAAGAAAATAGCAGAATAAGCCAATACATCTGCACAGATGATTGCCCGGATTGTTTGTTCCAACTTGGGATATTCATTACATGCGCTCTGGATAACCTTAAACTTGTACTTGATATTTGTGTTGATCATTTCTGTAGTTCTTTGTCTTCAAAATACTTCTTCCTTCGTTACAAAATGATATAAATAGTGCAGATCTTTCGTGCAGCCGTGTGGGTTCAGCACAGTTTCATTCTGGGACCTAGCAAGAAATATTTCTGTGTCTCAAACTCCCCTTTGGGTTGTAGAAATAAGGCAGAATGGTAACGTCACTGTCAGCAGCACAAGATCTGAATTTTGGTTTGCAAGGAGGAGCAGCTATGTAATCTCTCTGAATTGCACTTGCTTAATTTATAGACCTACTACTGGGGAATTTTCTTCCATTTTGTTTCTTTAGATGGAGCTTTTGAATGGATTCAGGCTTGGCTCTGGGAATCAGCCTGGATACCAGCAGATCCTATGTGCTATTAACCACAGAACCCGTGCATTTTGCAGCTTCAGTCCAGCTGATGTCGTTTTTGTATTAAAATAATATTGTCAAAGTTAACCCCAACTTTGACCTGTCCTTTCTTACATTTGCATAGACTGTATACTTTTTTTATGAAAAGCAAATGCTTCAGTAAGCTTTTGACATGAAAAGGAGAGGTAAATACTGATAAACAAGACAGCATTGACAAAATTAGTGCAGACATAGTGTCAGGAAGTGGTTTTGGATCTTGGAAAAATGTAAGGGTTGATCATAAGGAGATGAAAAACATCCGCTTTACTGTGTTGTTGGTACCGTTCCCTTCTTCCTTTGTTCCTGAAGGTAGAGTAGTTCCTATTTTTTTTTCAGTTTCCTTTGGTTGCATCTGTGCATTAGATGCAGAGGCGGTACTCTTCTGGGCAGGATGGCTTTAGCTGTGCCAGTCAGTGTGCCCACAAATACCTTCTGTGTCTGAAGACTTCCAGGTACCTGCGTACCTTTTGGAGGGGGGCATTAAATCCAGTTTCTCCTATCCATCATCTGATTTTTTTTAATGAATAATTTGTTTTTGCTTCTTCACAATCTGCTTTCTCCAAAACTTGCCTGTTCTAGAGGCCATACAGTAGCTACACTATTCTTCAGCTTTTAGTCTCTCCCTATCCTGTAGCCTTTTTAACCTAGCTGAGGACTTGAAGGACATGATTCATAAACATAGCAGTAGATTTCTTCATACTGTGGAAAAATAATTGCTGAAATATGGGCTCAGCAGCAAGTCAATTGCTTGAGGTTTTGAAAAACAGAATTTAAAAGAAAAAACCCCGACCACTCAGCTTCTACCATGGAGGTATTTCCATTTGCAACTTTGATCATAGTAAGGGTAGTACTAATTGAAATCAGCAGTTGCAGCTCTGAATATTGACCTGCCTCTTATCTCTGAATCAGAATTGCTGGTAAAAAAACTAATCCATATTCCACCTCCTAAGTGCTATCATATGAAGTAGGAATATTTTTCACTAATTCCCTATGGTTGCTGTGCATAGGGGTTTTAATGTAGGAGCTGTACGATGCTTTTCTTTGAGAGAGCAAGCAAGAAGTGGTATCCTTTTGTTATGTTTACATGACAGTGTGCCAAAGTTACTTACTGTGATTTTTAGGGGTTTTTAATGTTGAAAGAAATTCACCCATTTGAAAGAGAAATTAAGAGCCCTTGAAGCAAATTGCGATGGAGTCTCCTGAGAACTTTTCTTACTGTCTTCAGAGCAAGAATGGTGATATTGTTTGTTTTGCAGATTTTCAAAACATAGTTTGGAAACTGTTTTTTTCAGTTGGTTTGAAAAGTCTGCTGTACAGAGCTTGTACTTTGTTCATTTTATAGATGGAAACCATCCTTGAAAAATTGTTTAACTTAAATAAAGAAGAATGCTTTATATAAATGTGTGGTGCTTGATATAGCCGAGTAAAACCAGGAAGTCTGCCTGGAGCTTGTAGACTGGAGTAGTTTTCAAATGCTCCAGTTCACTTGGTTGTTTCATGAAGTTCCTGTTAAAATGTGTTTAGTTTTTGGGTGCAGATGTACTTTCCCTGCATGCCAGAAGTCAGGGACTTCTTGGTACCCTTTAAAAAATCTAAATTAAGTGAAGCAAATAGATCTTTACTATTTATGATTGGCAAAAATGAAAAGACCCTGTCAACCTGGGGTATACAAAAGAGACCCCGCATTTGCAGATTGTATCTGGAAACTGAAATGAGGATTCTCCATCTGAAATGCCCTTTGACACCTATGGGCTGACAAGTAAGACTAAAAGATAATTACAGCAGGCTTCTGGCAGTAGAAGCTTTTGATTCAAACTAATGTTAAATGTAGATGTCTCTTATGTCTCTGCCTTAGAGTCTTACTCATTTTCTGTCCATGCTATTTCAGTGAGCTTCTTGATAGGGATCAGGGCTGAATGAACTGACCAGCAAATTTTACTTCTGATCCATAACTCCATGGTTTCCTTTGCCTTATACCCAAGTATGTCTATTAAAAAAAAGCTTCCCATTCAGTGTAATTAACTTTCTGGAATTTCAGGTCATGCTTTTTAGCCAGTTTCTATGCATGGGTTTACTCTGCTTGCCTGTCACTGTGCATAAAACCAGATATATTTACACATATTTTATAAGGGAACGTTTAATCTTTGCTTTTTGTGAATGAACAAATACATTTTTAAATCTTGAATTTTCAAGAAGATACCTGCGCGCGTTTGGAAAGGAAACTGAACATTGGGAGAGATGTAAAGGCTGTAATCTGCTCGAGGTAAGGACTGTTGTCTTGTTTAAAGTGGGTCCTATGGAGCCTTGTCCCGTTCCTGTCTGAGGTGTTACTGCCATAACCTTAGTTATTTTAAATGATGTATTTTTGTATGCAGATACCAACATCTACTTTGCCTCACTTAGCTATATATTAAAAGTAGATGCTCTATAAATCTGTGGCTCCAAGTTGCATGCAGGCATCACCTATGTCCTCGTTCAGCCTGAAACACAATGAATGATTTCATAGCAATAACTTGTTACATGAACACTCCAGCAAGAGGCTTCTTCCTGTTCAGAACAATTTCAAATGAATGGAAACCACTGAAAAAAAATAGCCTGGGATAATAAGCCGTGATTACAGAATGAGCACAAATGTCTCAGGGTTGCATCTTTTGTTAGACTGCACATTTTATTTACAGCTTAACATCCAGTAGCTATTTTAAGATCGGCTGGTAATCAAGCTTAAAAATTAGGAATAAAGTCAGTCCACAGATGTTCTCGCTGTTCCGCCCCCCAAGAGGCTGCCTGAATGGGTGCAAAATAACCATTTGATTTGATGTGATTTAATTTCTTGTGGCACAGCAGCGTGGTGGTGCTCTGCGTGCAGGAAGAGGGACCTGTTTGATTTCAAGTCCCTCAGGTCTCTACTTCTACTTATCAGATGCTTTTAATACAAGTGTATATTTTTCCTTTTCATTTTTTTTAATTAAAAGGGATCTGGAAGTAGCAAATAGCAGTGTTTTCTGCCATCCCTGTATTAATTAAATCTCACCTTTGGTAATCTGGGCATTGTGGTAAAAAGAGACTACCAAGAGTCTGTTGTGCTCTGGTTGCGTGGTGAGCACCACTTCTGCAAAGCACTTTTATCTTCTTAAGTCTCATGCCACCTTTCTTCCCGTCCTGAGTTGGCATCTTTAGGTCACTGGTGAGGGTCAGGGCTTCTGTCACAGTAGGAGCTACAAAAGATGATTACACATTTTCCACTATCTTGTTGTCTACGTAGAAAAGATGGGGGAAAAGTGAGGGGGAAGAGAAAAGTGCCAAGTGAGAGGGAGTGGAGAAGCAGCTGCAGAGCTGCAGCTCAGAATGCATTTCCAAGTCAGTAAATTCATAGTTTTAAGTTAAAATGAGATTGAGCTTTCCTCTGCTGTACAGCATAAGCTGTAACATTTTCAACAGCGGTATCTGTGCCACATCCTCAGCTTCTGTTTGGATGTGACCTCTGACAAGAGCATTCAGCTCAGTTGTAGAAGACTGGATAAATTTTCAGAAGTGTTTAGGACAGTCAGTTTTTAAAAATAAAATTTAGGCAGTCAAACATCTTGGGAAAACCAATGGGTTTGAGAATTAGGTAATCTTACTCTTCAGCTGGTCAAACTCTCTTCTTGTCAGCTACTCCAATATAAGTTTGTTTTAG